CTGAAGCACTGGCTAGAGCGCTGCACTGGGTAATTGCCAAGATTTGGGAGGAGGAGATGTTACCGGAGGAGTGGCTGGAAGGTGTCGTATGCCCAATCTACAAAAAGGACGACAAGTTGGATTGCTGCAACTACCGCGCGCTCACACTGCTGAGCGCCGCCTACAAGGTACTCTCCCAAATTCTATGTCGCCGTCTGTCACCATATGCAAGAGAGTTCGTGGGGCAATACCAGGCGGGATTCATGGGTGCCCGCGCTACCACGGACCAAATTTTCGCGATTTGGCAGGTTCTGCAGAAATGCCGCGAATACAACGTGCCCACACATCATTTGTTCATCGATTTCAAATCCGCATACGACACAATCGATCGAGATCAGCTATGGCAGATTATGCACGAGTACGGATTTCCGGATAAACTGACGCGATTGGTCAAGGCGACGATGGATCGAGTGATGTGCGTTGTTCGAGTATCGGGGACACTCTCGAGTCCCTTTGAATCTCGAAGGGGGTTACGGCAGGGTGATGGACTTTCGTGTCTGCTGTTCAACATCGCGTTAGAAGGTGTGATCAGAAGAGCTGGGATAGACACGAGTGGCATGATATTCAGGAAGTCCATCCAGCTCCTTGGTTTCGCGATGACATTGACATTATGGCACGGAACTTTGAGATGATGGCGGAAACGTACATCAGACTGAAGGCTGAAGCTAGACGGATTGGAGTTGCCATCAACGCATCAAAGACAAAATACATGAAAGCAAGAGGTTCTAGGGAAGACAATGTTAGCCTCCCACCCCGAGTTCAGATTGACGGTGACGAAATCGAGGTGGTCGATGAGTTCGGGCTCACTGGTGACCACCGAAAATGATACCAGCAGAGAAATTCAAAGACGCATTATGGCAGGGAATCGTGCCTACTTTGGACTCCGGAGGACGCTCCGGTCGAATAAAATTCACCGCCGCACGAAGTTGACTGTCTACAAGACGCTGATTAGACCGGTGGTCCTTTACGGCCACGAGACCTGGACTATGCTCGTGGAGGACCAACGCGCTCTTGGTGTTTTCGAACGGAAGGTGTTACGTACCATCTACGGTGGAGTGCAGATGGATGACGGATCGTGGAGGAGGCGAATGAACCACGAATTGCACCAGCTGCTGGGAAAACCATCCATCGTCCACATTGCAAAAATTGGGCGACTACGGTGCGCTGGGCACGTCGTAAGAATGCCGCACGACGACCCAGTGAAAATGGTTCTAGAAAGCGACCCAACAGGAACAAGAAGAAGAGGCGTGCAACGGGCAAGGTGGATCGACCAAGTAGAAGGCGATCGGCGGACGCTTCGCAGACTACGAGGCTGGCGAACTGTGGCCATGGATTGAGTAGAGTGGAGACGACTTCTTCGGACAGCAGAGGACAACAAGGCCTCAGCCTGATTGGTAAGGTAAGTAAGTCTTCACGGTCAGAGCTGGTAAATATCGCGGCCGTCATTTGACAATGAGAAAACAGGTCCTCTCACTATCACGAGACGAAGCTACCTATCATTAGCTTTCTTGTTTCGATTTCATGCTGCATTTTTCAAAATGTTGTTTCATGCATTTCGCGGGATATGTTTGCTGGAAAAAAATTCCGTTTCGTTTTGTATCGACCTTAAAAAATCGCATTCCCTTATCTGCCAGAGTCAGAGCTGGTAAATATCACGGCCGTCATGCGACGATGAGGAAACAGGTCCTCTCACTATCACGAGACGAAACTACCTATCATTGGATTTCTTGTCATTTTTCAATGATCAAGCAGTCATGAGAATAATTCTTATGCGATTTTGACATCAACATTTCTAACTGATTTAGATGAATTTAAGCAAATAACCGTATGTAATCGTTAAAGTGAATACATTATTAAGATTTCCACGGTACAAGTAACTTTAATAGCATTAAATGAGCTAGTAATTACAATGATCACAACACTGTCACGTTCTGTCATGACAAAAAAATCGATGAGATTTTGAAGAACATCTCTATCATCGTTTTCTCATCCAATGATAGTGACAGAAGTATCTCTGTAAATATCGCGTGAGATCTTTCATTGAAAATGATATTTGCCAGCCCTGGCCAGAGAATTCAAAAATTCTGTCTGGCAGAGCTAAAATTTCTCTAAAATTTCTCTCTGGCACAAATAAATCGGGCAACCTGACAACGCTGCCTGTGTACGATCGCAGCGTGCTATGTTTCCGGGATTATACATCTAGACAGTGTTGGAAAAATATCAAATAATCAAATCTCACCAATGCCCAAGATCACGCTTGATTTTCATAGACAAAAATCAACTAGAAAACATCTGCGACTGGTTTCTAGGACTCGGAAGGTCAAGCTAACAGAACTCACCAACTGCAAATCTCACCAAACTGTGGTGAGATTGAGTTTAATGATTTTTGCTTTACATCCGAATGCAACCTAAACTTCCATAACGGCTGGCAGCAGTCCCTTCGTGTCTGTCAACGGTGAAGATTAAAAAGAGATAGCAAACTACACTTTCTCTTTCTAAAAAAAATGTGTAACGGAATCATTTTTGTGTTGAGTCAGCTTTCAACTTTATTTTTGCGCGTTGTGAATAGTCTCACAATATCAAAGGAGCTTTTAAAATCAATATCAAACATGATATTTTGTTTCAATATCACGCGTGATATTGAGAGCGTATGAGAGCGGAAAATATTATTTGATTGATGATTTTGCCAAAACTGCATCTAGAGAAACATTTCAAAAGGTCCAGAACCTACTTTATCAACCTAGGGGAAATGGATGGCCTAAATGCCACTAATTTGGGCCCATACATAAATTCAGCAATTGACTAAATTTTCAATAGCGACAAAAAATATCCATTAGTACCGTCCCAATAACGCGTTCATCTAGATAAAATTGATAAATAGCAAATTTTTAGCGATGGGCCCAATCTTAGATCCATAGACCAACATTAGAGCCATTTCCCTTATGTGGTAAAAATAGTACGAAATCTGTTTGCATTGGTTATCAAAAGAGAAAGTTGATGAAGAGAATCAATCAAAGCATTGTTCATCCAGACTTGGATCGGCTTTGCTCGGTTCGATGACTCTCACCTGTCAAATGTCACATCATTTGATTTTAACTAGTTCGTTTATTAGCCTTCCAACTCAATTACGTTAGCTTTACAGAGCCGATAGTTCATTGTTCATTGTTCATTGAACAAAATTGTCCAGTAGAAGTTGGGCCGAATACTCGCCACTTACCCGAGGTTAGAGGGGTACATTGTCGAAGGATGGGATCAGGGGAGGAGCTTGGGGGTGGGGTTTTGTTGTCTTATCAGAGCGTTGTCGCCAGTATGAACGGTAGTGCGGTTCTAGATTCGCCTGGAGCTCGACCGGCTATGAGACTCATCGAGACAAGAAATGTCACAGTTTGCTAAGGAATAATACACTACTACTATTCCGATAACATACACCACGTTATTCGAAACCTGGTTACGCCCTTGTGAATAATTTAGACGACTGTAAGGGCAGGTCAAAAGAACTTTTGGCCGAATCCTATAGATTTCCTTGAATGATCTACACGGCTTCGAAGGAGGTTGAGGAATTTCAGGATCGAGGCTGAACACTTTGAAACGACAAAAGCGCACTTCTATTATTCTATTATGAATCGGACTTCGACAAACAGAATCTGTATATTATTAATTGTTGCACAGTTAAGCACACGTTTTCGAGGTAGGAATTCATCAAAAAATCTTCGATTGCGATTCATGCAATAATTCCAGAGCTAATTTGCAATTTATATTAGTTTCTCATAATAAATCTTTTGAATGTGTCTCAGTGCCCATTTGTTGCATTGGAATTCTATTATTGCACACTTTGTATCTAATTATTGCACACCCATAAAATATGGCAAAATGAATCTTAGAAGAATCCTTCACTCGTTGTGATAGATGATTAAACGTAACTTTCACAAATATTGTACCGTTGCATACCTTTATGTATTATCCCCATAGAAAATAATCCAAGACCAAGCATCTAAATACCATCAAATTATTAAACATTAATGTTTATCCTATCAATTATACATTGACATTTGATAATAATGGACAAATATTAAAAACGGCACCGGTGGTTTAGTGGTAAGCGTGATTGCCTCTCACCCCAGTAGGCCTGGGTTTAATCCCAATCGGTGCCGCCGGCATCATCTGAGGGAAAGTAAAGCCGTTGGTCTCCGGTCAATGAATAGATGGGTCGATAGGCAGAGTTCGGGTGTAGGAGCTGTGCCTCCATGGCGTCGGTAGTATTGGTACTCAGTACGGAAAACATGATCAACGGAAAACAAATCATGGAAAAAAACGAATATTAAAGATTACTTAAGTTAGTTTAATCGTAGACTATTATTAACTTATTTTGCATATGAAGATTATTAGCTGAAATATTAATAAATCAACTGAAATCATATGTAAAATGCCAACAATATTTAAAACAAGCTTAAATACAATATTTCCAAAACTGAACATCAAAATAATATTTTTTATCATTCAGCAATTGATCAATGATTAACTTGTCCATGATCGGTAAACGTCATGGTCATGGATAAATGACGCACAGTAAACAATGTAGAGTGTGCAACAATAGGCAACTCTCTACTTCAAGACTTCAAGATACGTTATATCGAGGTAGGTATACCCGTATGTATTTTTTTTTTTTGAAAAATAAATATGCGATTTTTAAATTCTGATACTAAATACTCAAGCACTACGGTAGCTATCATTTTATTTCCAAGAAATTTAATTTGTGATTACTGTTAACTTTTCCTAACTCGGTTTTGAAAACTTGGTTATCCAGAGAATATCGAATAAGGTCGTATTAACCTATATTAACCATAAAGGGTCTGCAACGAAATCTACTATAATATGCACATACTCCAGTTAAATCCACACCCACCACTGTGAGCATTCGCACACCAGTTGCGTGCTAAACAATCATCAAACACGCCACTCACCTTTGACATATTTTCATCCAAATTAGTTCTCCAGCACGTTTCTGCTCCTCCTGCTCCTCTGCGCTCTAACCTCACTGCCAGCTGCTACGGCTGCCGCCAATGAAAAGCCCCAAAATCAACGTCACCAAAACCGTTCCGATCACATATACGCCAGTCTGACCTCTACACACATACACACAGGTGCACGCACGCGATAATTCCCACCGGATCAAACAACTAATTTATATTTGTTTTCCGACCACAACACACTGCTGCTTATCTATTCACTTTCCTCGCCGCGATGCATCCAGAGAGCATTAGACTGATTAATCTTTTGATCCGTCCTTTCACTTGTCATTTACCTGCCACCGGGTTTCCGCTAAAAAGCACATCAAATCACAATAGGGGCCTAATTTCTCACCACTCACACAGCACCAATCAAATCAACTCTGGCTCAGATGAGTCGGTAATCTCCGAGACTATTCCGCGCGGATCGATTTAAGCCAGTTTAATTAGTTTGCGCTTTTTTTTTTCTTCTCTCGAACCACGGCTAATCTTCTCCGGCTAATTTCAATATTTGTTTTAAAATTTTCTCCTTTCCCGTTAAAATGGGCAAACTTCGAATCAGCGCTCATTGGAATGGTGCTTCTTTTCCCACGACATCACTCAGACTGCATGGCATGCTGCAGCACACTCTGATCGAATCGAACGTGCGAGGGAAGGAGCAAGGCAAACAGATGGATGGTTTCACTTTTTTCTTGTCTGCCCTTATCTCACACTTTGCAGCTTCTCCCGCAAAAAAAAACGACTAAAATGGGAAAAAGTTCAAACCCAAATAAATTAAATTAACTCGCTACACTTGACTACTGGCAAGCCACTATTCAGCGAACGCACGTTTTCAATACACACGGCACCTGACGACTGAGCGGCCCTCGCCGTTGAAGGGAATGTTGATGATGATGATGAGGTGCACAATCAACTTGCTCCCAAAATTGCTCTTCATCTGCTTCGAAAAGCTCCAAAAGCCGAATGCGTTTATTTTTTACTTGTTTGTGGCGGTATAATTCACTTTCTTTTCCCCTCACTCGATTTCTTCTCTTTTCTCTGATCCGTCTGTCATTGGAGTGAGCACCTCTTGTGTCGATCACTGCCTCCAGCTGTTGCTAAACCATGGGAAGTACTTTTATTAATCACCTCTCGCTGTCGCGTTGTGGCGGTGTTCGGCTCCTCCACACGACGACACCCCCACTAGATCGACTTCCTCGTCCGACAACAAAAAACAGATCCACGAGCGCGTATCGGATTTTCCGTTTTTTTTCCGCTGTTGCTTTATTAGCTTTATATGTAGCTACAACCAACGACAACGAAGCTCCTACTATCGTGGGTCGCGAGTCTCAAGGGAAATTCTCCGGCTCTGGCGGCGGTTGTTCAATCGATTTTCTTCACTATTATCGTTCCGTCCGTCCGTCCGTTCGTTCCACCAACACTTATCTACTTCACTTGGTCAAGATTGCTGTTGTTTTGTTGTTTGGTAAGGTTCTTCTTTTACACAACTGACTGAGTGCTGAGTTGCACAAACCTCCGCCGGCACAGCACACCAACTCTAATAGGCAATACTGATGAAGGAGATCGATTTTGGAGGTCACTCAGCCCGGGTTGGAAATGTGTTTCTGTGAAGTCTGCTATCGAGTCCTCCTGATATCTGCTGTCGGCTACAATGGTCCTGAAATGGAAGGGTTAAAAGACGGTATTGAAATGGAACTTGATTTGGCAGTTAAATGTGGATGGTTGATAAAATGGTTTTCGTCGACCAGGGAAATGTAGTAGAGGCAGTTTTCTATAGTTTATCAGATTGATAAAATCGCGATTAAGTTTATCCACTGCAGGTGTTTTCAGCACTTTGGATCACGGAATTAGGAAGACACACGGTGTTACAGTATCGGACCGAATGTCAATAGCAAAGCTGACTAGAACAAACGTCATAAGCCCGAATGTGGCAAACTGAAAATAATGAACTTTGAAATAGTATGTTCAGACTACAGAGTTATAACATGTTATAGCGCTATCTTGATGGTGGTTTCTGTGTTGCAATTATTTGACAACCGTTATAACATGTTATAACTCTCCAGTCTGGACAGCGTTTTATAGTACGTTCAGACTACAGAGTTATAATATGTTATAGCGCTATCTTGATGGTGGTTTCTATGTTGCAATTATTTGACAACCGTTATAACATGTTATAACTCTCCAGTCTGGACAGCGTTTTAGACAGCGTTCAGACTACAGAGTTATAACATTTTATAGCGCTATCTTGATGGTGGTTCCTGTGTTGCAATTATTTGACAACCGTTATAACATGTTATAACTCTCCAGTCTGGACACCCTATTAGGCTCTGAACCATTTCGTGGATTAATTTAACTTTTGGTTAAAATTTGACAGATGGAAAGTTATCGATTAACCCTGTTATTCGAGCGTGGTTATTTCTGACAGACAAGAATAAAATTTTGACAACCGTGACTGAGTTCTGCTCGAAAACCGATCGATCGGTAACACAGGGATTTTCGAACATAAGAAATAACTTTCGAAATGTCACTTTTAACCACGAGTTAAATTTAACTCGGCAAATGGTTCACAGCCTTAGTAGGCTGTATTCCATTTGGTGAATTTTCCGTTAAATTTGACAGATGGATAATTTTCAAATAAAACAGACTTATTTCTGACAGACAAGGAATCAATTTTGTAGGACACCTTCTCGAAAATCGGCCCATCAACAACGGACGGATTTTTGAACATCTTATTTTATTGTCGAAGTGCCAATTTAAGTGAAATTTCACCAAATGGAACACATCATAAGGTTCTGAACCATTTAGTGGAATTTTTAAATTTTGGTTAAAATTTTACAGATGGAAAGTTATCGATTGACCCTGCTATCCGAGCGTGGTTATTTATGACAGACAAGAAGTTAAATTTTGACAATCGTGGTTGAGTTCTTCTCGAAAACCGGTCAATCGACAGCACAGGGATTTTCGAACATAGAGAATAGCTTTCGAAATGTCACTTTTAACTACGAGCTGAACTGTTCGGTAATCATGCATTTTAATTCATTAGTTTTAAGACTACAAAACAAGAAAAGTTCTCCACAATGGCAATAATTTAAATAAGGCTGACGGTGTTTTGAACAGCTTTTGAAATGAGGGTTAACGTTTTACGTGTTGAAAGTTCGGTAAACAATGACCGAAGTAAGTAATAATTACTAAGAGTGTAACTTCTTTATAAAATTAGATACAGACGATATTTTTAAAACAAAATATGCGCCTCTTGAAGCTTCACAAGTACTGTCTTTCATGAGAAATTTGAATTAAAAAAGCTACACACAAAAGATGGTTTTCAAAGGCCATCCCAACAAACATTGGAAGCAACATAAGAGCTTATTCAGACAAAAATATACTTCTCCAGCTGAAAAATTGCTTATTCAGGATTTAATCAGTTCTAATTGATTGTTGGGATCTTGAAGATATGTTTAAAAAATGTGTCAATACTTTTGTTTTAATATTTATTCGGTTGGTGTTTTTGATGAAGTTTTTGTGCTTAAGAAATCGCTTCTTTTGGTATTTGCAGGGCTGGTAGCGATCACTGCTGTTAAAAATAGTGATTTTAGTGACCATGTTGAAGAAATAAGTGACCAAATAGTGACTTATAGTTGTAAAAATAGTGACTAGAAAGTTACCTAAGAGAAAGGCAATGTTTGATGTTTTAGACTTATTCAATAAGTATCTCATAAATACTTATGTACGATATGAAACTTTAAAGCGAAAGATTGAAGTTCCGAAAATTTCCCTTAAGTATTATAACCATTATAAACGCTCACTAATTTCCCCTGAACTTCTATATGGATACCTGAAGTGCTCTAAATTTGTTTAATAACCCGGAAAATTTTCTGATATCTATTCATAATTCCCTGGCGCTTCTGAAGTTTTCGGATCAATCATAGAATTCATGGAATACCCCATCATTCCACGGAACTCCTTGTAAGTCTCTGCAAATTTGCTTAAATTAATGGGATTATTCTGAAGCTATCTGATCGTCCTTGAAGTACTCGGAGCTTCACTGAATATCATGAAACTATCTAAAAGTATCTAAATTTATTAGAAGTTCTCTGGAATTTCTTGAAGATATCACTGCTTGCTAAAAGTTCTCGCATTTTTTTATTAATGGAAATTCGTTGATTTTCTCTAATCAATTTAGCTAAATTTTCACGTTTTTTAAGTTCTTGAAATCTCCATGATATAACAGGCTTAATATATTCTCACGTTTTCCGGATGTTCATAGAAAACTTTTATCTCGTTCCGGAAATTCTCTCGAAGCTTTGCTGGAGTTTCCGGAAATTCCCTGAGTTTCTCGCAACTTCTTTAAGGTTTCTACAATTTCCTTGAAATTATTTGAAATGCCCTTTGATTCTCGAAGCTTCCCTCAAGCTCTCAATTCTATTGAAGATCTCAATTCTGCTGCTCGGAAATTAATGGAATTCCCGTAAACACATTTAAATTTCCCTGAAATTCTCTGGACTTTTGTGAAGTTTCTGAAATATTTCTAAAGTTTTCATAAATTCTCTGAAGGGCTCTTTACTTCCCTGAAATCATCGGAACATCTTAAGGGTTCTCGATTTTTTTTTTCAGCACATCATGGAACTATCCTGAATTTTTCTAAATTTACCTATAATAGATCTTTAAACTGCTCCAAAAGTCTGAACTAAAGCTACGGAAACTGATATAAATACCCCCAAAAAACATCTCTAGATCTAGCATTTCTAGAACTTCTTAAAAATTTGCACAATACCCCTCATGTTTTCTATATTTCTCAAGATCGCTTGACACATCCCAAGTAACATAGCAAGGTTTATCAAGGTTTTAAAGCGTTCTACAAGTCCAATTCATGGTGTACAGAACCCTCATAAAACCAAAATTGTTACTTGGGATGTGAAGTTCTCTGATACTCTAGGAACTTCATAAAAGTTCCGAAAATTTTCAGATGCTAAAACAACCGCTTTGAGGTTCTTAAAGCTTACAGTAAGTTCCCCGTATTTTCAGCTTGGACTTACTCAAATTAAGTAAGTTTTTTGACGTAGAACTACGTCTTTGTCGACTATACTGGGGTGCAAATCGAAAAATATGTGTGGTGAAATAGTGTTAGGTTGTAATTTTGTCGTTTATAGAACAAATTAAAATCCAAATACGCCAATCGATAGGATATTACTTAACAAATCTACTGAAATAAATACTTTTCCAATTTTTAATCAAAAAACTTTTGAAAAATGCGTGAATTATAATTTAATTACTGTTTTCATGAAATAAACGCTTTCCCCAAACCCAGTCATCATAAACGAGTACCACTTGGTTGCACATCATTGAACCTGAAAAGATATAAAACAGCGCTGTTTTCCTGCCTCTGCTCATTACCGCTTCGGACGGCGTGGCACTAGGTCCTGCAGCAAGCAGGATCCAAGTCAGCGGTGCACATATATGCGGATAGTATACTAGCACTGTGCGTATCCAGCCAGCATAATATAAGCAGGGCATCAGCGTCTACCGGCATGTGCTAGTTGGCTAGTACACTAGCACTAGCTATTTCACACAGATTTAAAGATTCCCTGGAGGCTGTTGGCAATTATACCATACCACTTTAAATTTTTTTGTATGGTCAATTGTCTACGCAGGGGATCGATCACCTTGACAACCAGCGATGTCGAAGGAGAGACGGTAACTAGTATGAACGACGGACATTATGTACACAAAAAACACCACCCCCCTACTCCCCCCATAATGGCAACCTGAAAAAAGACATGAACTTTGACGATCACCTTTTTTCGATAAATCAACTAACAATTAAAATTAAATTAATTCCACCCGCTTGCCATGGGATACCCAATTTGGCGTAATTCTACGTCATACTGCGGTCGTGTCTAGGACAAAACCCTTTATTATTTTTTTTTTTACTTTATTAAGTGAGAAATTTAGTAAGTGTTAAACTTCAACATTCAATGGATTTGATTGTAAAGCTGTTTCTTTAAAACTGATTGCCATTTCTTCAAAACGTTTGGGTGAATTGCTGTTGTTTTTATTCACAAAAAAGTATATTTTTACGCATTTAAAAAATAGCTTTTTTTTTATTATAAACCTGGAATTTATCCGTTAAAGTATTGGAAAAACCGGGAAAACTCAGGTAATTTTATTTAGAAAAATGAGTAGACATCCTGTAGATAGATAAACACAATTAAACGCCACAAAGCAAAGAATGATCAATCTTGAAATAAATTCTTCCTAAAATAGTTGAAAATAGTGACTGATTACAAGAAAAGTGACTCGCTACCAGCCCTGTATTTGTCAACATTAAGGTGGTCCACAATTAACCGATGCTTAAAAACAAAGTTTCTTATCTTTGAACCTGGAAACGTATATTTCTCAGCAAAATTGTAGTTAAGTTAAGTTTGCTGAAGATTTTTTTTATTTTTTTCAATCTCATAACGCTTTTATTTTAGAGTAATTTTTCAGAATTTTATTTCAAATTCTTTATTAGAGAATTTTAGCATCAATGAGTCTTATCGTCACCCACTGGTCACCATAGCCGGTCGAACTCCAGACACATCTAGAACCGCACTACCGTTCATACCCCACCCCCAAGCTTCACCCCTGATCCAAACCTTCGACAATGTACCCCTCTAACCT